TCACTTTTTTTACTTCATAATTGTTAAGCATTTAGGTATCCACATCAACCTAAACTTAAAAATAATGTTGCCATTAAAACTGCAATCCTTAAATAAGTAAACAGTACAAAAATGGTTATTTAATCTTTTTTATATGACGAGTTATTAGTTTTGTCCAGTAAAGGTGATTTCTGGCCCACTGTGTGTTGTCAGAAAAAAGCGAGGATTTATAATAAACTTCTTAAAAAAAAAAAAATTTCAATAAGAAAATTAATTACAAAATTTATAAACGTATTTTTGTAATCTGATAATATTAATACGCTAATTTAATAGTAGTTAATAGTCGACTTACGTCATTTTCTAGGCTCTTCTATTTTAAAGTAGTTTCTAGGCTTTTCTATACGCGGATTTTTTTTTTTAATTTTGTTTATTAACAACCCGTATTACGGGTTGTTAGTAAATATAGTATTACTGCTAGTGGTTATTAAAAAGCCTAAGAAGTATTAGTATACCGGTTTTTGCATTTAAACTGGTAGATTTTTGCACGAATCTGGCGGGTTTTTTTATTTAATCTGGCGGTTTTTTGCATTTAATCTGGCGGTTTTTTGCATTTAATCTGGTGGTTTTTTGCATTCAATCTGGTAGTTTTTCTTTATCATGATAAACAGTTTTGTTTTTATTGCTTTATTTAACTTTCTTATGTACAATTTAACCCCGTTTTCTCTTAATTTTTTTTTAAATTTAAAATAAATTACGCACGAAGACAATGCTCAGAGATTAATGCTGAAGTAAGAAATTTGAAGGGAAAAGTGTGAAAGAAGTATCGGAACTCGTGCATAGAAGTGAGACTTTATTACGACGCCTGGTTCATCGATATTTATCAACAGGTAATATCAATCCTGGTATTAGAGGTGGTTTTCGACAATCAGGTTTTCACTGAGTGGACCAGGAAAAAAGTTTGAGATATCGAGGTTTCGTGATATCAAGAAAGGATTCAAAAATAAGTAAAATTGTCCGACTTTTATTGAAAAATAAGTTATTTTTCTGACAAAAAGCATTAACAACAAAAGTTAAACTTTTGGAAAAAACCTTTTATCTGGTAATGCTTTAAACTATCCATCACTTCCATGTTCATTAAATTCTCAAGGTTTAGTGCTAGGGATTGTATTTCATTTTCGTATTTTGAGCTGCATAGCAAAGCATTTTAATGCATTTACTAATTGAATATCAAATAGGCTTGGCGGGGTTTCAACTTCAGCACCTTCATCAACTCTATCTTCAACTTTATTATTGTCGTTTATAAAATAAGGGACTAAAATATGAGCAATAGTTTTAGCATCAGAAGCAGGTTAACCGGTGCTTAATACATTGTAATCTAAACCAATTTAAGATTCCGCTGAGAGATCTGCTTGATCCGTACTAGGATATAAGTTTCGGAAACGTTCTTCTGTCAAAAATTTAAAAGGATGATTATCATCAGCTTCTTCAATACACTTGTTTGTTTTTCTAATATCAGCCTTTATAAAGCAGTTGATTACAGTCTCCTTCACAACAGAATTCCATGAAGAAATAAAATCTTCCATTTCTTCAAGTATAAGAATTTTTGGCAGGGTTTTGTTAATATCTACAGCCTTGATACACAAACGTACAATTTGCGATAATATGGAGCATGATGACTTTGTGTTGCGCCTTGATTCATGGGTTTAAGGACAGATGTAGGGTTAGGGGTAAAAAATATCTGATTGATATTGCTTAGCCCTACAATGTTTGTATGGAAAGAAACAGTGATCTACCAGAAGTGCTACTTTTGTATCTTGAGCACAAAAAGATGAGTCATGATTTTTTACCCAATCTGTAAAAACGTCTCTGGTCATCCAAACTATTAGCTGGTTTTAATTTGTGCAAGGAAGTTGTTTATATGATTTTTATTTGTGCTTAAAATATCATCAAACATTCTTCTTGTAATAATTGGTACATTTTGTTTGGAAGACATTGAAATTCATTCATCGGCATTGAAAATATTTTTAAGTTTATAATTCGAGAGCAATGTTGGAAGTGTTAATTATTCCATGAAGCAGTCGTATCATTTGCAACGGCGTCACTTTTTTAAAGCTGATGCCGTTTCTAAAAAGAGGAACAGAAAAATTTCATTTTATTTACATTTTTGAAAAATTAAATAAATTAAATATATACAGATACATGTTAATATTTAAATTGAACAAGATTTGACTAATTTAACTGACAATTCTTTTTAATCACCAAGAATCATATGCTTTAAAATCCAACTCTCACATTGCTTCTGCAAACTTTAGTGCCGTTTTCTTTCAGTATGGTATCATATAACTTTATACTTGACTTCTTTTTGCAACAAACCACGTGAATTTTGGCTTTTTGGTAATTTGTTTTTACAAATTATAAACCCCTAAAAAAAACATAATATCAACCCAGGTTGATATTGTTTTTTTTTAGACTCCGTACTTTAGGGCAATCTATTTGATAGAACCGTGTTGGAACCCGACTTCGAAAATTGAAAAAAAAAGTGAAAGGACTTGGTGGTCGTGAAAGATTAACAGATTCGACAATTGATCAATTGCAAAATTTCTTTGGTTTGGCAATTAGACAGAATACTGGTGATTTAGTTACCATGAAATCATCAGCGCTTGCCACGTAGCATCATCAAAAGTTAACAACTGGCACTACCCACATTGCCCAACGGGTGCAAGTAGTTGGTGTAATTCAACAGCGACAAAGTAAATAAGACCAATACCTACATACCAGGTCCTGGACTTCCCTTAGATGTTGTATAAAAGATCAAACCTGTGTTTGAGGACCTTACTAAAGAAGATGAGCTTCGAAAATGTCTTCATGGCAAAACACAAAATGCTAATGAGTCTTTTAATGGAAAAATTTGGAATTGTATAACGAAGACAAAATTTGTCTCCTTGACAGTGCTCAAGTTCGGTGTCTACGACGCTGCAGCAAAATTTAACATTGGAATGAAGTCGTCAATACTAATTTACGAAAAACTTAACATGATTCCAGGCTATTTTACAATAAACGGTTTAAACACTATAAACAAAGTTCGCATTAAATGGTCGATTTATCAAGGAAGGTCACATAAAAAATTGCGTCGTCAAAAGTTAAGGGCTAAAAAAATTTAAAAAAATGATAAAACCATAGAAAAAGAAGGCATAACATATAAAACAGGAAGTTTCTAATTTCAATTAGAGTCTTGTATGTTATATTTGGTATGTTTGTAGATTATTTATTTATTTTTTTTTACTTTTTGCGCGTTTTTTCAGTTCAAGGTTTTTCAATATGCCGGCCGCAATTACAAAAGATCCACTTGGGCTTTTTGTCTAAAATTTTCAGCACTTTTTTATTTCAGTAAGAGCTGTGTTTTAAGTGGAATAGAATTTTAATAAATCAAGTAAAAAACCAGCATGGCTAATTTATATTAAATGATCTTTTTTCTGATATCAACTTTGGTGGAGAGTTCTCAAAACGGAAAACGTTTTTTAAAAAATCTGTTCCATTTAAAACACTCATGCACCTATTCTAAATGCGTTACCAAAATTTCGCTCTGCCTTTTTTTATTAGTTTTTGCTAAATCTTGGCCGGCGCAAATCCTATTTTCTGCTTATTTTTAGGGGTTTTTGAGGTATATGCAATACCCGTTAACCGATTTTTTTTTTTGTAAAATATCTGTTTTTATAAGAATGTTTGTTAGATTATTTCAAAAGTTTATTTCTATTGTCTATATTTAATAATGGGGGGTGATATGCCTTAATGCCTTGCATTTTTCATTATTATAGATTTTTTTGTGAGTTTTGGTTTTACGAGCGGCATGTTATTACGTTGAAAAAAAAATAAAAAAATAAAAAAAAAATTATTATATTGAAAGAATACTTTTCAGAAAATTGAATTACAAAAACTCAAATTTAAAAATATCATCACAGCAGTAACTATCAGTACAAATTATCACAGCAGTATCTATCAAAAATTGGAATTTTAAAAAGTTAAGCGTATTAAAATATTTCTTGAAATTTTTCTTTGAAAAATTCAAGATAACGGGAGAAAATTATTGTTACACCAAAAATGTTCGAAATAGCGAAACAATTTTAGCCTAAACGGGTATGTTACGTCCATGGGACAGCAAAAAAAGTTCGAAATGTCAAGTACACGAGATACCAAGAGTTGATTGTAATGCTTAGTACACTTTTTTTTTGCCTACCAAACTTTATTTAAATAACGAGCTGAAAATTCTTTCTCAAATAATTAAAAAAAAAAAATTCAAGCAAAATCTTATCAGCTATGTTTATGAATTAAATTCGTTTTAATTTTTTTTTTTAAACACTTATCATATTAAGGGGTAGTTCATTTCGGTCAATACTCCAAACCATTCCACGTCCATGCAATACGTCCTACGAGCGCCTTAAATTTAGAAATTTGAAAACTTTCCCCTTCCCCTGCTGACATGCATATTTATGTCTCTTCTCAGAAAAATACGTACACTTTTGAAATACCCCCCACTACCCTTTTTTTAATAACAGAAATAGTTTAATTTAGTAAAATTGTATAAATTAAGAAACATTTTTTATATTAGAGCGTGTGTCTTTTAAAGTTAATCATACGAACCACACTCATTCATTATTTTATTGGACGCTTTTTGCAGATCCCTCTTCCTTAGTTAATCTCCTAGTTAATAGATACTTTATAAACCCTAAAGCTGTTGATTTCGGCACCGAATTTCAACTATAAAGACATATGTCTATATATACATTAAACTCAGATGTGTTTATAAATACGTCATATATATATATATATATATATATATATATATATATATATATATATATATATATACAACAACATGTTTCTACTTATACAGCAAACATAGATGATTTTGTGAATGTAAATATAAACGCCTAAATTGCCTTCTTCTTATGAAAACTGGCACTAAACCAGTTTACCTTAACAAAGTTGGCATGTTTTTTCAAAAGCAAAAGTAAGAACTTGAATTGTGATCATTAAATAATTTGCTTTTCTTTAGTTGATTTTATATTAGCATACCTATCGCTCAGTGGAATGCTTGTCTTTAGTTGATTTTATACTTGTATATCTATCGCTAGGTGGAATAATGGACTCATCACGAAGTTTTTTTTATTTCCTCAACTGACTTTACATGTACAGGATTTTGAAAAACCTCGTCTTCTATTATACTATCGTCATCATTATCTGTTTTAAAGGGTAAAAACGACGGCGCAGTATTTTCGTCGAATTCGAAACTGAGATAAACTCCACTTCGAGACATTACTTCATCAAAATACTCACGTAGTGTTGTAAAGGTAGGACGTTTTAATGGATCCTCATTCCAACACTGCAACATAATATCATACCTAAAATTGTATAAATAATCCAAAATAAAAAACAATGCTTTGTAAACTAGTGCACAAAATTAAAATATATTACATTGATTCAGAACAGTTTTCAGGTTTATCCATTCGATAACCAGATTTTAAAAGTGAGAGAAGCTCACGGTTACTTATAGCAGGATAAGGCGTACCTCCTACAAAAGTAAAACAAATTTAAAAAAAAAATTTTTTCGCATTGAATTTCCTCAAAATCTTTTATATTTTTACCCAGAGTAACAATTTCGAATAAAACAACACCGTAGGCCCACCTAAAATATACAAAAAGCTAATTAAAAAAACCTAAAAAAAGCACAACTACCATAGGACGTTTGTCTTAAAAAAAAACTAGCAGAATCAAATAAAATTCATGAAATAAAAATTGAAATAAATTACACATCGCTAAATGTAGTAAACAGTTGATCGAAAATGGCTTCAACAGACATCCATTTGATCGGTAAACGACGTTTATTCTTGCTCATGTAGCTCAACTCATCATTAATTTTTCTAGTCAGACCAAAATCAGATACTTTTACTATTTTTTCTGCTCCAACCAAAATATTTCTTGCAGCCAGATCTCGATGAACCAATTTAGAACATGACAGAAATTCCTGAAAATACCCAAAACTATGATTCAAAAAAGTATTAATAACAATATAAACAAACAGCAATTAAACAATACCATTCCTGATGCCACTTGCCAAGCAAAACTAAGCAAATCTTTAGGCGTAATTGTCCCATTTTTATCTAACGGATTTTTATTCTGCAAACCAAAGAAAAACCATCCTTTATTACTGTTGTTGTTTTATAAAAATGATGAATTAATTAAATGAACAAAAAAAATTAAAGTCCTAATTTTAATTTGAAAAATTCCTTTGCCAAAAAATAACTTAAAACCTTCAGAGATTGTTGATATCCTGGAGTATGCATAAAGTTTACAGACAATTTTCCATCAGTATTTAAAGTACAAAACTAAAAACGAAACAAATTTGGTATGTAAAAAAAGAATTAAAAAAAAAACAAAAAAAACAAAACAATAATTAAAAAAAAATAATTTAAAAATAAATCAGTAGAAATAAAATAACTTATTAAAAAGAAAAGTAATAAAAAACCAGTGTTACAGGTTTAAGTGGTTATAATTAATACCAAAGTTAATAATAAACATTAATAAAAAACATTTTTAACACAATATGCATTTTTGTCAAACAAGTAGGGGGAGAGGGTCTCGACAAGGCGGAGGGGGTAAAGAGGCCAATAATTATTGACGTCAAAATTGTTAAATTTTCAATAAATTTGATAACTTAAAAAGGAAAACTAGAGAGTGACGTAATTTTACAGGGAAGTAAAGGAGAGGGGTCTCTGGAAAATTGACAAGTTGATGACAAGGGGAGGGATAGGGGTGGCGGGAGTGAGAAATTGCCAAATACTTGTTGACATAATTAACGGATAGTCTCTTATAATGATAGGTTTTTATATTTATTATTTAGCCAAAATAGAGAGAACACTATTTCATAAAATTTTTTTGATTCTTATGAGTTTTAATAAAAACGCAATTTACGTCATAATATTTATCAGTATTTTTCTAGCAAATAATAAAATGAGTTTTATTGACCTCACTAAAAATGAAGTCATCAACATATAAAATGATTTTATAATTATGTCCATAATATTAAAAATACTTAAGAAATATAGAAAAAAACACTAAAGTTTGAACAAACGTTTTAACAATGCGTAGTTTGATATATGTTACGAACTGAAAATGGTTTATTTACAATAGTCAAATAAGCAATATAAAATACCTTTCAGCAAAAATGAAAATTTACTAAAGACAAGTTGTCAAAAATTATTTAACATGTGTTATGTAATTATTACATTGTTTATGTGATAGTTAAATTGTAAAAAATCTAATTTCATAAATATATGTCAAGTCATAAATTTATGTTAATTGATTAAAAAAATTATTTTTAAAACATGATTTTAAAATAAAAATTAAAAAAAAATTTGTTTTGTATTTATAAATGTGCAAAAAAAAATCTAAACCCACATATGTGAATAACTATGCATAACATAAGAAAACTATTTGTATATTTCGTCTGCTGTATATTTTATATTTCTTCTGCTGTCGATAGGTACCTATAAATTCTAATTATACGTAAAAACCGGGTTTTTTGAGAAACCAAAGTTATAACATAAAAAACTTACAAAACAACACCTAAAGCTGTCTAATAGTCTCTATTTTGTTGAATTATTGTTTTAATTGATCATCCAAATCCCTATTCATTTAAACAAAACAAAAAAACAAAAAACATAAATTATGGGCGTTTAACTACTCGTGATATGACTTTTTGGGGCAAAAATTTAACTTTTGAGCCCATTGGGAGGGGTCTAAAATTTGAGCAAATAAATTAAATTTTGCTTTTTATTGATTATAGAGATCATAGAGTACGCCCTAAAAAAAAGTAATTTTTTTTTTTCAACATCTTCACTTCCAACAAGACTGCAAGCAACCACTTTAAGAAATGGAAGTTACAGGAAGAGAAAAGATAAAGCTTGTAAAGTAAGATAACGAAAGACAACTTAAAAGACTACAAATTAAATGAACCAGTAAAACAAGATGAGGGGAGCAAATTCGAACGAATTGATGTTCAAGGAAAAAAACTAGACAAATAAGAATTTTTGGAGCACTTAGGCAATGATGACGCTAGCTCTTTAGAGTAACACCTGCAATAGGAAAAAGGAAGAGAAGCAACATTACAACGATTATGTGATAATAGTTGAAGGTTGGTTGCAAGAGCAGGTCCAACTATGTATACAATGGATTTTTGCACAATGTCTTAAAGAGGAGGAACATTAATAGAAGATCAAGAATCTTATGGATCTTAGGAAAGATATAGGGCGGAAAATCAATTAATAAAAAAAACTGATTATGTAAAGCACTCTTTTTTTTTACCAATCAAAAATTTAAACACAACTAGTATTTTCAAAAACAAGTTATAAACATGTTTTTCCAATATTTTAATATATCAGTTATTTTACTAAATAGAATACAAATAAAATGCAAAGGATTTAAAAATGGAGTTTTTTGAACTTTATTAGAACCTTCATTACTCATTAAGCATAACTTGTTACTAATGTAACATATGCTTAAAATTGTGCCTATATCTCTGTGCATTATATCTAAAACCAAAAAAAGAATTTTGCAAATTAGGAACACTACTCATAATTTATCCAAAAAAAAAACAACAAGCAAAATTGACTATTGGTCCGCTTAACAAAAGCCATTAGGTGATCTAATCATGTAAATAAAAAAAAAACTTTCATAGTAAAAATAAGGTTGGGGCACAATGGAAAGCCATGTTGTTTAAAATATGATTACTAGAGTTAAACAAGTTATTGAGCAAATTTAGGCAGATTTCTAGAGTATATATTCAGAGAGAGAGTTTTTATGTAAGGAGAGAGAGAAAGAGAGTTTTTATGTGAGGAATATTTCTAACTTTAAATTATTAGGGTATTTAAAAAAAATACAATAACACACAAATTTTACTTATTTAATATAAACATTTAAAATGTAAATTTTGGTAGTGACGTTACAATATAATTAAAAAAAAATTATTTTAACCTAGATTTCAACTCGTATTAGTTTGCTGATTTTATGAAGAATTTTGAGCCATGTGATTCTAATCCTAAAATTTATTTTTATGGTATTTAAAACCAGGTGATCAAAAACTATTTGTGTAGTGTAATTTTTATTAGACTTTTCTTTACATTGGAGTTCTAAACATTGCTAATAATTATAATAATATTAAATTTTTTACAGAAATTCAATTCAGCCGCAACTAATGTCCTTTTTTTTACAAGTAACTCTAATGCTAGTATAAATTATCATCTTGAATATACTAAAATAACTTACTTTAGTTCGTCTATTTCTTAAAAAGCTCAACAAATCTCCATGCTCCATATACTCAACAATTAAACATAATGGTTTCTTAATTGTTGAACAGCCAATCAAATTTACAATATTTTTATGGTATCCAATTTCTTTCATCAGATTTATTTCTTCAAAAAAATCATTAAATTCTGATGGATCAGCTGAATCTATAGTAACAATAAATGCAATGATTGCTTTTGTTAAAAATAAAATTTTTAAACATTTTTTTGATTTTGATCAACACTTTTTTGATTAGTGAACAATTTTTTTTATACACAGTAACATGCAAATTTTTTGAAACAAAAACAAAATATAAACACGTTTAAAGTTTATAAACTTTTTAAAAGTTAAATAAATCTTATAAAATCTAACCTGTAATCCTCTAAATATTATCAACAGAAAATAACACTGTATTAAAAAACTAAATTCATATAAAACATAACGGAGCATCAACATAAAACCATATAAAACTAATAAAAAATGATAAGTCACATTCTTATTTTAAGAATATTTTTAAAAAGATTTAGATTTGAAAACTAACTATGAATGTCAACATTATCTTGTGCATTTATAGATGTGAGTGTCCCAGTCCCAGTTGACTCATAAAATATTATAAGATGTGAGTGTCCCATATATATATATATATATATATATATATATATATATATATATATATATATATATATATATATATATATATATATATATATATATATATATATATATATATATATATATATATATATATATATATATATATATATATACACATATATATATATATATATATATATATATATATATATATATATATATATATATAAATATATATATATATATATATATATATATATATATATATATATATATATATTTATATATATATATATATATATATATATATATATATATATATATATATATATATATATATATATTTATATATATATATATATATATATATATATATATATATATATATATAAATAAAAGGTTAGATGAGAAAAAACAACTTTTTTACGGTACTTAAAGTTTCATGCCGTTTTCGGCACTCATCAGCCATATATTTAAATCAAGAAAAAACCGTTCAAAAATACAATTAAAAAACCGTTACAAAATTCATAAAAAACAATGGAATGAGTTCTGACATCAAACAATTATAATACAAATAATAGCAATAATAATAATGATAATAATAATAATAATATAATAATAACAATAATAATAATAATAATAATAATAATAATAATAATAATAATAATAATAATAATAATAATAATAATAATAATAATAATAATAGCAATAATATTAATAACAATAATAATAACAATAATTATAATATTATGGAAAAAGCATCTTTTCTAATCGCCAGTGTCAAATTGAGAAAGGAGGAATCTGTTTCTATGTCTGCACTTAGAAACAATCTCACTCCTTTTATTTAGTAGATTAGTATTTTTATAATTTAGGATTTCATATTTTTCGGTGAGAAATAATTTACAAGATTTGGATGTAGGATTATATGCTTTACATCGCCTGAGAATTTTCCACTTAACTATAGGAACTAAATTGGCTTCTTTTATTTTCCATACCTGCTTTGACAGCTCAGCATCATTTTTGTATTTTGGGATGTTAAAAGATTTAACGTGGTTAGCGTATCTCAATTTAAAAGAAGTCTCACTTACACTGATGTAGGATTTTTCGTTAGGAGATGAATCACTAGTGGTGGTTACAGTTGCTTGGTATACAATGTTGCTTGTTAAACATCTATTGGACAACAGGCAGAAATTTTTATCAAAGCAGTTACAGTTCTCTTGATTAGAGTTTGTATCGTTGTATAAAATGTATTTGTTGTGCGAATTTATGATCGATTTCACACTTGGCATACAACTGTAGCTAACTTTGACTGTGTTCCTGTTAAAGATTTTATGTAGTTTGTTATTATTAGGAAAATGTTTGCCAATTAATTTCAAAAAACGTTTTTCCACGTTGGTGTTAACATTTTTGCTAAATGGAGGATTAAACCAAATGATGTTGCGTGCTCTGTTCCGTTTTTTAGTTGATATTGCTTTAGGATTATATGTTAGATTACATTTAAAACCAGACTTTAATAAAACCTCATTATATAGAGGAACAGCCTGTTGAAATATTTCTTTGGTAGAAGAATTTGTAGATAATCTAAGTTCAACCGAGTGTGGTATTTGTTTTAGTATACTTGGAGGGTGATTTGAATCAGCATGGATATAATTTAATGTATTATCAGGTTTGAGTGAAGGTTTAAAGGTGCACTCACTAAGATTTAGAGTGACGTCGAGGTAGTTGACAATTTTCATGTTGCATTGTATAGAAATCCGTAAGCCATTGTATTTAAATATTTCGGAAAGATGCTTTTTTATTTTTTCCATTTGAGGGCTGCTTTTATTCCTAAAAACTGCTAATCCATCGTCACGGTATAAACCAACCTCAAACTTGTTATAAAATTTTGAAATTTCGAAAAGAAGAAATATTCCTACAAGCTCACAAACCTCCGCGCCGTCAAAAGCTCCCATGGAAACGACAAATAAACCACTTGATTGCTTTATCCAAACCTGATTATTATTGAAAAGCAAAGACTTTCTTGCATGAAAAATTAACGATATATTCTCTTTATTTAGTGTTACGTGTTGCTCTGCAAATTTGATAGAGTTTTTTAGAAGTGTTTCACTAATAGAAGGGTAGAAGTCAATGATATGCTTTGTACCTTTCGAAACTTAATGTGTTTTACAAGATCAATGAGTTCGTTCTCAAAAGCTAGCATTTCTGTAATTTGTTTTGGATGATTAGATGTTTTTAATCCGTAGTTATAATAAAAATTGTTCTTACTTTACATAAACTTTGGATATTCAGTCAAGAACATTCCGATACCATCCATTAAAGACTTCAAAATGCGATTATTGGATAAAACTGAAACTTTAATCAAAAGAATGCGATGGAAAGCGTTTTTCTTTTTAAACAAGAGTTCAAATAGTAAGAACAATTTTTATTATAACTACGGATTAAAAACATCTAATCATCCAAAACAAATTACAGAAATGCTAGCTTTTGAGAACGAACTCATTGATCTTGTAAAACACATTAAGTTTCGAAAGGTACAAAGCATATCATTGACTTCTACCCTTCTATTAGTGAAACACTTCTAAAAAACTCTATCAAATTTGCAGAGCAACACGTAACACTAAATAAAGAGAATATATCGTTAATTTTTCATGCAAGAAAGTCTTTGCTTTTCAATAATAATCAGGTTTGGATAAAGCAATCAAGTGGTTTATTTGTCGTTTCCATGGGAGCTTTTGACGGCGCGGAGGTTTGTGAGCTTGTAGGAATATTTCTTCTTTTCGAAATTTCAAAATTTTATAACAAGTTTGAGGTTGGTTTATACCGTGACGATGGATTAGCAGTTTTTAGGAATAAAAGCAGCCCTCAAATGGAAAAAATAAAAAAGCATCTTTCCGAAATATTTAAATACAATGGCTTACGGATTTCTATACAATGCAACATGAAAATTGTCAACTACCTCGACGTCACTCTAAATCTTAGTGAGTGCACCTTTAAACCTTCACTCAAACCTGATAATACATTAAATTATATCCATGCTGATTCAAATCACCCTCCAAGTATACTAAAACAAATACCACACTCGGTTGAACTTAGATTATCTACAAATTCTTCTACCAAAGAAATATTTCAACAGGCTGTTCCTCTATATAATGAGGTTTTATTAAAGTCTGGTTTTAAATGTAATCTAACATATAATCCTAAAGCAATATCAACTAAAAAACGGAACAGAGCACGCAACATCATTTGGTTTAATCCTCCATTTAGCAAAAATGTTAACACCAACGTGGAAAAACGTTTTTTGAAATTAATTGGCAAACATTTTCCTAATAATAACAAACTACATAAAATCTTTAACAGGAACACAGTCAAAGTTAGCTACAGTTGTATGCCAAGTGTGAAATCGATCATAAATTCGCACAACAAATACATTTTATACAACGATACAAACTCTAATCAAGAGAACTGTAACTGCTTTGATAAAAATTTCTGCCCGTTGTCCAATAGATGTTTAACAAGCAACATTGTATACCAAGCAACTGTAACCACCACTAGTGATTCATCTCCTAACGAAAAATCCTACATCAGTGTAAGTGAGACTTCTTTTAAATTGAGATACGCTAACCACGTTAAATCTTTTAACATCCCAAAATACAAAAATGATGCTGAGCTGTCAAAGCAGGTATGGAAAATAAAAGAAGCCAATTTAGTTCCTATAGTTAAGTGGAAAATTCTCAGGCGATGTAAAGCATATAATCCTACATCCAAATCTTGTAAATTATTTCTCACCGAAAAATATGAAATCCTAAATTATAAAAATACTAATCTACTAAATAAAAGCAGTGAGATTGTTTCTAAGTGCAGACATAGAAACAGATTCCTCCTTTCTCAATTTGACACTGGCGATTAGAAAAGATGCTTTTTCCACAATATTATAATTATTGTTATTATTATTGTTATTAATATTATTGCTATTATTATTATTATTATTATTATTATTATAATTATTGTTATTATTATATTATTATTATTATTATTATTATTATTATCATTATTATTATTGCTATTATTTGTATTATAATTGTTTGATGTCAGAACTCATTCCATTGTTTTTTATGAATTTTGTAACGGTTTTTTAATTGTATTTTTGAACAGTTTTTTCTTGATTTAAATATATGGCTGATGAGTGCCGAAAACGGCATGAAACTTTAAGTACCGTAAAAAAGTTTTTTTTTCTCATCTAACCTTTTATTTATTTATTTATTGATCTATTTTGTGATTATTTCACTTTATATTGATCACTCTCAAATCGAAAAAGAGTTGATTATTATCAAATAATCAAAACAACAATATATATATATATATATATATATAAATGTATATATATATAAATATATATATATATATATATATATATATATATATATATATATATATATATATATATATATATATATATATTATATATATACATATATAAAAATGTATATATATATATATATATAAATATATATATATATATAAATATAATATATATATATATACATATATAATATATAATATATATATATATATA